CCCCCCCCCCATGCAGAATCAATAGATTTCTTCTGTTTCCTATGCTAGGGGGCATTGGAGAAAGTACAACTAATCTGCTGCAGCCATTATAACATATGGGATCGTTATATTTTCTCTCTACTTCATGAACACTCTTTTTTTCTTTCCTAGTGCCTTGCTCGGCATTGCCTCACTTTTGGCATTAGTGGGGGAGGCAATTTGTTCGGTCCCAATGCTGGAACACACCAAAGTCTTCAAAGGGGTACCTGGTATTCCCTGCTTTTCGTTCAGCATTAGTGGGTACCGCAACGACTGGTATATCCGTGTTTACATTTCCTCGGCTGTCAGTTCTATTATATAAATATAAGTTAGTTGATACTACATTTTATGGCTACAGTTTCCTCAGTTCTGGTTCGTGATGTTTTCTCCTGTTTAAATGTGTCCATGGTTTCTTTTCTTGTATTTCTCATATAGACTTTCATTCTGATAGTTCTCTTTGTGTTTGACCTCTGTGGCATATTGCCTCCTTCAAACCACACTCAACGTATTGATTATGCACGCGCTAACTATATCCCGTATAAGTACGAAATTTCAATGTATTAAATGAGGCATGCTAATGCTATATATATATGCCTGAATCGATGGCGATTGTGTCATTTATACATACATATTCAATCGATGATAATTCATTAGTATTCTTTGCAAAAGATTGAAAGCGTTCAACATTTGAATATCTGTATTTCTGTATAAGACGCGACTGATGTGCCCCTCCCCTTCTGTGCGGAGTTGGGGGTTTTCTACCCTAATTCGTATTAAGTCAAAAGGAAATTTAGCTGAAACTAAAGAAAAACTTGTATTCATACGATTTTCAAAGATCACTTTAACTAGATGTAAGGATAATAAATCATTGGGAAATCAGCAAAGATTTGTTTCTTTGAAGAATGAAATATTGAAATATTAAAATAGTGAAACTATATTCCAACATTTGCGAAATCCGGTCAGGCTAATTGGTGACGTCAGAGTTGTCTGAAATATGTCCCGGGTGTTATCATGACTTGAACCGTTTTCAGATGACCAACGAACAGTGATAGAGCGGTATATATGGTTTCTAGATAAGATGGCACCCGGGTATGTTGACGTGTATAGGCCGCGGAGATGAAGAGGTGCTGCTGGGTGCACTCTTGGTTGAGTATTGTCGAATTCAGTTGAACTGTAGTTTCATTTTCCAGTGGTGTTTTCGTTGGTATAATTTCGTGAATGTAACTTTGTTGTAAAGTGGCTTTTGGAGACATTTTAAATTTTCCTATACAGCCTTATACGTAATGCTATTTATAGACATAGTTATACTCGCATATCCTTACCTGAGCACCTGTATCGACGCTTTGTCACGCTCTGCTGGTTATAAAGTAACAGGTGCTTGCTACTGAGGAGCGCAACAACATACCAGTGTGATGGGTAAACAAAAAGGGAAAAAAAGGAAAACTGAGTCTGTCAGTGACATTGATACGTCCGGTAATCTGTCCGTCAGTACGGCAATAGGGGAAGCCAATGGAATTCTATATGGTACAGATACGGTAACATCTACCCCTATGGCTACATATCCCAGTCAAGGACACACCCAATTCCAAAGTGACATGTATAAAAATTTTGAAATTATCATGAAAAAACTGGAAAGGCTTGAGATGATCGAAAGGAAGATAGACAGAATGGAATCGAGAATGACGGCCAGCGAAAAGAAAGCTAGTGAACTCGAAAGATCGGTGAAATTTGTCTCGGAGATGATTTCGAGAAAAGAAATGTGGATACTCAGAATTCAGTGCGCACTGTGTCTAGAGAGCAGGTGAGACAAACAGGTGTTATCAACGAGTGCTAGAGTGCGATTGCTAAGTTAAACTGTAACCTGGGCAGCATTACAAAGGAAAATAAAGGACTGAAAGATAGCTTAACTGATCTAAAGTGCAGATCAATGAAAAACAATTTGGTTTTTAGTGGTCTTGCCGAAAATCCAGAGGAAAATCCAGAAGCTTTATTGAGAGAATTTATTGCGGTGGAACTTGGTATAGAACAGTACATAGAATTTGGAAATGTCCATCGTTTTGGTAGAATCGTTGGTGGGAAGAGTAGACCTATCGTAGCACGCTTCATATACAACAAGGAGCGTGAAGGGGTATTGCGATGTGCGCGTAGGCTGAAGGGTTCAACTTTTTACATAAATGAACAATTTCCTACGGAAATCCAGCAGCGTCGCAGGGAACTTGGTCCAACAGTCAGAGACCTGCGGGGCAAAGGCAAAAATGTGCGGTTAGTGCGGGACAAGCTTATTGTGGATGGGAGGCTGTATGATGGTCCGATTATCAAACAAAGCTCGGTGAAGGAGCGACGATCGCCAACCTCTGTTGACACCAATTCAGGCAATAGTGTTCCTTCGTACAGTGCTGTGACTCGGGTAAACACGTCCGCTACATCACCTAACGGTGCGCGCGGCCACAACTCGCGCACCGGAAACCCTCATTCAACGGCGAGTTCCCGCCATGATGGTCACTAGGACAGACAGGACAGTGATGTATCCTTAAAAGTAGGCTCTATTAAGATAAGTTCATGGAACGTGAATCGAGGCCTTCAAAATAAACTAACTGATCAAGGTTTTGTAGATATTTTGTCGAGCTCCGATATAATATTTTTATCGGAATGCTGGATAGATAAAAATAGCGATTTAGACTTCAGTAATTTTCAGGATGAGTTTAGCTTTTTTACATTCCCCCGTGAAAGGGGCAAAGGTGGAGGCCTTGTGCTGCTATATAGAGATGGTATCAATGCATCTATTGTTTCTTATGTAGCAGATACGCTTATTTGGGTTAAGATTAAGCAGTCTGTACACCCAGATATATATATTTGTTTTTCGTACATTCCGCATGATAACAATGTTTACTATACCTTGTATGAAACTGATATTTTTGATACCATAGTTAATGGCATCTCTCATTATTCACAACTGGGTACCGTCATCGTTGCTGGCGACCTTAATAGTAGAATAGGTAATGCGTGCGATTACATCGAGTCTGACAATGCACGTGCTCCAGCTATTCATTTTCTATCTGGTGTACTTGACTATGATGTCGATACTGTCATGCCTATCCGAGTATCTGCCGATCACACTGTGAATACGTTCGGCCGCAAACTTTTACAATTATGTAGAAGTACTGGGCTGCGAGTTTGTAATGGTAGAAAACCTAGTGATATCACTGGTAAACTCACTTTTTTTAATCATTTGGGTTCAAGTGTAATTGACTATGTTCTTATAGATAAAAATTCGTTTGATTTGATCACCGAGTTTAAGGTGCGCGATTTTAATGAATGGTCTGATCATGCACCCATCGATTTCAATTTACGTGTAACAACCAGTTGTATGATTGATGATCCCACTAAAAATGTTATTATTGATAGTAGTGAGAATAGTTTTATCAAGTCTTGTGTGTACAGATGGAATGCTGACGAAGAACAACAGATGAGTATTAATTTGGTTAACAACATTACATTATTAAATCAACTTGTTAATGATATCCAGTCTTCTATTGTCTCAATAGACCACGGAATCGATGATTTTGCAGCCGTGTTATGTGATATATTCAGTCCGTGTTCTAAGACTCTGTTCGTTCCGCGTTCCGGTTTTAAAAAGAAACGTCATCTTCATAAGCCCTGGTTTGACGATAAGTGTAGACGACTATATAATACTTATAGACGTAACCTTGCCTCCTTCAATACAGATAGATCTCCAAATAATAGACTATCACTTGTTGAGTCAAAACGTAGTTATAAACGTTATGTAAGACTAGCCAAACGTAGGTACCTCCGTTCGGAAGGGGACCGTATAAGTATGTTGCGCAGGAAAAATCCAAAATTATTTTATAACTATTTCAAGAGCAAATCTAGTTGTTGTCTCAGTGATCTGGATCTTTCAGACTTTTTTGAACACTTTAAAACTGTATGCGGCGGTATTGTTGATGACGAGATCTTTGATAACGTATCTGCAGACGCTAATGTACCTATTTATGACGAATTGGATAGTCCCATTCTACAAGATGAAATAAAGAATGTTTTAACTAACGCCAAGCTGGGCAAATCACCTGGTAACGATAACATGTTGAATGAATTTTTCGTTAAATTTAAAGAAGTTTTTATTCCAGTTCTTTCAAAATTATTCAATGCTATTCTCGATAAAGGGGAATTCCCATCAAGTTGGTCGAAAGGTATAATTTTTCCATTATTCAAAAAAGGCGACCCCAACGATACGAACAATTATAGAGGAATAACGTTGGTTAGTTGCTTGTCCAAATTATTTACAAGTGTTTTAAACAATAGATTACTAAAATGGTCGGAGCAATTTGATATTATCACTGATGCCCAATTCGGCTTTAAACCTGGTCATGGCACCAACGACGCCATATTTGTCTTGTATGGAATAATAAAAAAAGTGCTTGCTAAAAGACGCAAGCTCTACTGCAGTTTTGTTGACTATCGCAAGGCGTTTGATAGTGTGAATAGAAATAAGTTGTTTTTGAAGCTGTGTAAAAGTGGTATAAGAGGTAAATTTTTGAATATTTTGAAGTCCCTTTATGAAGGGTTAAGGTCATGTGTTAGATACAAATCTGAACTATCTGATTTTTTTGCATGCACGCAAGGCTTGATGCAGGGTGAGGGGTTATCTCCCTTCCTTTACTCTTTGTATGTAAACGATTTGGAGAATGAATTTATTAATACATCATGTGATGCACTTTTTCTAAGAGATATTTCTCTGTTTTTGTTGATGTATGCTGATGATACTGTTCTTTTCTCAGAGTCAGCTTCTGGGTTACAGAAGATGTTAGATACTTTGAAACTATATAGTGATAAATGGCAATTATCTGTCAACATAGAGAAAACAAAAATCGTTGTATTCCGAAATGGTGGTAGAGTTAGTTCAAATGACAAATTCTATTTTGAAAATAATGTAATAGAAATTGTTGATAGTTTTAATTATCTTGGTGTCACGCTATACTTTAATGGTAAGTTTACTAAAACTCAACTTAATATAGCTGAACAAGGACGTAAATGTATGTATAAGATTTTGAAAATATGCAATAACTTAGCTTTAAATGTTGAATCAAAACTTAATGTGTTTGATGTCTACGTATCGCCTGTCCTTAATTACAGCTGTGAAGTGTGGGGTTTTAGCTTGGCTGATCAGATAGAAAAATTACACATTGACTTTTTAAAAAGAATCTTGTATGTTAAAAAGAATACCCCTACGTTTATGTTATACTCTGAACTTGGTCGTTTACCTCTGCAAATTACCTGGAAACTAAGAATAATTAAATATTGGTTAAAATTAACCAAGACTAATAATTGTATTCTAAAGTCATTGTATGACGACATGATTGTTTGTAATCATAATAGCTGTAACTGGCGGTGCCAAGTTAAAAACTTACTAATGTCTACAGGTTTTGGTGATGTTTGGTTAAATCAAAATGTTGTTAACGAAAAAGTATTTTTACATAATTTCAAACAACGTCTCACTGACAACTTTCTTCAATCAATGAACGAGTTTGTGGAAAACTCTTCTAAATGTTATCTGTACAAATTCTTGCTTGACTCGTTTACCTTACAATATTATTTAACAAAATCAATTCCTGTCGTTTATCTTAGGCTTATTTCCAAGTTTCGAATGTCATCCCATCGTTTACGCATAGAAGAAGGCAGATATTGTAATACCCCAAGGGCCCATAGAATTTGTCTACATTGTAACCAAAATCAAATAGAAGATGAATTTCATTTCATTTTAATTTGTCCTCTATACGCAACTTTACGTAAAAAAATTATCAAAAAATATTATTGGAACCGTCCGTCGTCCTATAAACTTGTACAGTTGCTAGCAGTTCGTAATAGGAAAGAACTTTGTCATTTAGGTAAATATTTACAATCAAGTTTACTATTACGCTCGACATAATGTGCATTGTTTAATTATCATGTGCATGCTTTTTCTTTTTATCTCCAGATAAAAACTGATTACTTCTTACTTCATTTGATTGAGATTCTTCCAATCTTTCAATCATGTACATTACTTCAATTAATCATCTCATTAATATTTTTCTTTTGTCATTTGTATTCTCATGTGCGTACAACTGTCCGCCATCTATCAAATCAGCTTGTCTTGTACAATGTAGGTTATGTTACATGTTATTCAATATTTGTGTAATGTTTTCGACACCCTTATTGTACATGTACACATTAATTACTCTGTATTATGCTGTAATGCTTATGGGCCGTAAGGCTGAAAGTGAATAAACAATACAATAGGAACCTCCAAGTATTATTGTTTTTATAAAAACACTCATTGACATTTTTGTCCATAAATGAACATAACATATCCCCTGAATTTGCAGCAAGTGAACAAATAATGGTTCGATGATCCATTTCCGCCTTAATTTCAAAGTTTTTAATTTCTGATTTGGAAGTCAATTTAACTCATTAACACCTGATATTTGATAATGATATATTTCATTCTTTGAATTGGAGAGAGATCAAAAGTGTTTTCAGGAGTAACTGAGTAAAATATGTAAAGTCAAGAACAAAACAACTTCGTTCATTGTCGTGTATATATTGTTTAATACAGAAATCACTTATTCAGCCTCATTTTGCATGGAACAGTTAATCGGATTCTTAAGAAAATCACGTGGTCAGTTATCAACTAAGGAACACTGAACAGCGGAGACTCTTGGCAATATAAGTCACCAACATGTTAAGCATGGCTAGTTGTATCATAGGATGGCTACATCATTTGAGCATTTTTTGGGAGAATAATATCCGTCCTACTTCTCTATAGCACTCGCTTAATGGAGGAGTAACTGCATTCGTAGTTATTCGTCAATCAAATACCTCTGTACTAACATGATTCAGACGTTCTCAGACCATTTTTACATGGGAGCACCATTACATGTTATTAACCAGGTAAGCGTGTACAGTTCTTTTACCCCAATATCCTACCACGCAGACGGAAGCTTTTAAAAAATCGATATCGAATAACATGAAAACGATTGAATTGGTATGTAACGGTTCTGGAGGGTGTACCGGCATTGATGTGATTACATGTTTTACCGTTTCAACTCCAACGGAGTATCAATTTGACATGAATACATCATTACCCAATAACGACACTCAAAAACGCTTCAATGATTTCAAATAAGTACACAAAATCCATTTGACGGCCTTGTCATGTTGTATCGCAATACCACGGCCGGTTAATTCAACTAGAGAAGTGTGCGTGAACTAAATTAGGTGCATGTGCACTGAATAGAAAACACTTAAGTATTTTTTTATAAAACCAGTTAAGCAATGACGTTATTAAGAGCTAAATAGTAACTATTAACACATAAAGTGCTGTTTTTGCAAATGTTACTGTAAATACACATATCTAAGTGGTGATTTCAGTGCATTGTAAGTTTGAAAATATTCGTCTTTTGGGGGAAAAATTCCGGCTTTTTGAGAATTTCAGTTTTATGCTTCTACGAAAAACGAACCAAGTACTCATTTGTCGGGTTTCTACAAATGTCGCAATTTACATGATGAATGTCGAATGCTGACAGATAAACGTACACTATATGGTTTAGAGATATGAAGTCCATCGACAAGTTTAATGAGTCACCACCATGCTATATAGCTACCATCCTATTTCTTGTGCAACATGAAGGTCGGTATTTTTTATTATGCTTATCTGTGTGGCTTTTCGTTATATTGTCACTACCCTGATCCTTTCTTTGAGAACGTTAAATTATTTCGATTTGGCCCAGATTTACATGGCGGGTACCATCGATGAAGTAAAAGAAGGTTTCCCATCCGCAATACATAGTCTAAATCTCCTTTATCTCTTACCCATCCGCAATATATAGTCTTAACCTCCCTGATCTCTTACCCATCCGCAATATATAGTCTAAACCTCCTTTATCTCTTACCCATCCGCAATATATAGTCTAAACCTCCTTTATCTCTTACCCATCCGCAATATATAGTCTAAACCTCCTTTATCTCCTAACCATCCGCAATATATAGTCTAAATCTCCTTTATCTCCTAACCATCCGCAATACATAGTCTAAATCTCCTTTATCTCTCTCTTTTGCTCTTATTTCGCCCTCGTTTCATCATTTCTGAGCTTTGTATTACAGTTTTGTTTACGCTTCAGTGTTACTTTGCTGTTTATTTTGCAATGTTATTTAAGGAGTAAATGGGAATATGAATAATCTTATTTTGATTTTATTTTATATAGACTTTTCAATCAGTTTTCAATCAACTGGTCAAACAGCTCATACTTTGTCCCTCTATGTTGGTCTCAATCACTATGTATAAGCATCAGTATATCACACGAGTGTTGGACGGTTAATCTTACATACTATTTATTCCTTTTAGCACAAAACATTAAACACTACGGCATGTTTTCATTTAAGAAGCCTCGTACCACTGCCTCAACATGTAACATCACGTTGGTAAGTGTGCAGGCATGCATATAGCTTTGCTCATTCTTTCTGAAAAGAAAACCATACCTTGAAGGAATTTTATAAGACGGAATAAGGATAAAATAGACAAAAAACATTCAACAATTGTGTTCCGTGTGTAATAACACAGCGGGACTAGGCAGAGATTCGAACGCAGTCCTTTATATTGAGTTACTCTCTCTCTTACCCATGGACCTACTTGGCCAATCGACGTATAGTGGTCCAACTGTACTACAGCTATATTCAAACGTAAAATAAGGAGAGGTTGCCGTATAATGGAAAAACAACAGTGCAGTGGGACAGGAATCTTTAACAAAATACACTGTTGATGCACGTACCATGTTAAATGTAGAAAGTAATATTTTTAAAACCTGGTACAATACGCCTTAAACAAATTACTGAAACAGATTGCTTTGATGAGTGTTTTTTTTTCTTGTAGTCGCCACGTTGTATGAAGAGCTCCTTCAGGGTTTTCATTAATCCATGGTTGAAAACTTCAATCTGAAGCAAAGCTGTCTTGGATCGAGAATGATTTATATCGAAAGTCTATTCATTGGTGTCCTGTGGTTCTTGTATTTTTGTCATGATGGTATCTGCCGTTTCTATTAATCCATGTGCGTTCTGCACTTTGTCACTGCAGAATTTATCCGAATTACTTCGTTACACACTTTTAAACGAATTGTCCAAAAAGACACAAAACCATGGACGCAGATGATATTATACCATTTCACATATAAAATTCATTGTATCCGTACAGAATACATCATCATATTTCCATTGAAATATAACCATACAGTTCTGATTGCCTAGGTGGTTATCTGGTTGTAAAGGAGCCCAAAGGGAACCATGCTGAACTACACTTCCGGTTTCCCAAACAAATGTGCCTTCGACAGCCTCATCTGTACCCCCAATGTGGTAATAATTACCATCTGCAAAGTAAAATTGAGCATAAATGGTAAAAGAAATTTTCATATTTATCTATATCAGAATTATGTCATTGAACCCCACAAGATGCTACCATACATTACAACGCCGATGAGTGTATTAACTGTTGGGACCTAGACTTTGTCAAACCAGCCGTGCATAGTCAAGCTACTTACTTGTGCGGTAATTTAAGTTCAGTGCGATATTGTGAACATAATCGATTTGGTCATTCACATTGTCATTTGTGTCGTAATTTAAAATGTGTTCATTAGATGTGTTGTAAATAAAGTGTGGGATTTAAACATAGAAAATAAGACCATGTGTATTTTATGTGTGAAATAAATAAGAAGAAAAAAATATGTGCATTTTATGTACACAAAAGGAAATACGATTGCCTTGTAATACAAATATTCATGATATTGAAATTAACAAATGGCAGATCTATAATCAAAATGTTTGCTGGGGTTTTAAATCACCGCTTTGAAAGTAAACGCAAATATTGCGAATTATAAACCACGTGAAATGAAGCACTTTGCAGTCGGTAAAATTGGCGAGGTAACATGCTAAGGGAAATCAGGTCACCATGGTGACCCTTAGAATCGTCAGCTTGGATTGAAGCTCTGCTAATTGATAATATCACTCGCTCATCTACGTGGTCCAGTGATTAGCTTCAAACTACCAACGATCTGAGTCGGATACGTCATTGAATTATTGATTCGATTATTCTTCACAACGTGGACTAATTGTTATTACACATATTTGTTTGTGTTTTATATCCCTCGATGTTTTGTTGCTATTACTGCTGGTGTTGTTTATTTTTTGTTAGTAGTTACAAGGCACATTATTTAAGAAGTATGGACATTTTAAAAGTTAATATTTGAATTAAAATTCTTAACTTTGAAATGCACATTTAAATTTCTCTTCGGAACCATTTTAAATTTCACGTAAAATATCTAGATAAGAAATTAGTTCTCTGAGGAATTAAATGAATTAGTTTCTATTTTTAAGATTTCCGATATGTTTACATGATGCTTTGATATTTATGAATAACGATGAAGGATAATTATTCAATCATTACGTCTGGAATAAATCAATTTCCATTTAGAAAATTTGCAAGTTTATAATTTAGATCTTTACAGAATCGAAATACTTTATTTCTATTTTTTATATTATTTTCATTTTCCATGATGTTTTATGACAGATTTATAATGCATCCATTTTCAGTATCAAATCCCAATCAGAAAGTATATTCGATTTGTCCTCCTATCCAAACATTACTCACACTTCACGCCTGGCAATCCAGTGATATACGTGTGTTTAGCCACTGTATCCAAAACAATCAACCTTGCTCCATCGTTGGCACATGAAGCATCTGCAGCCGGGTGTGTCAGCCATTGGTCTGCTATAATCTTGATATACCAACCAAGTTGATGATTATATGTGTACCCGTCAATCTTACCTTAGAGGAAAACAAAAATACAAAAACATAAATACAAACCATAAATATAAAAACATAAATGTACAAACATTAATAAAATAAATAAATACAAGACATTAATACACAAACACAAATACAAAACAAAAATACAAAAACATAAATACAAAACATAAATACAAAACATAAATGTACAAACATTAATAAAATAAATAAATACAAGACATTAATACACAAACACAAATACAAAACAAAAATACAAAACATAAATACACAAACATTAATAAAAACATCAATACAAAACGTAAATACACAAACCTAAGTACACAAATATAAATACAAGACATAAATACACAAACACAAATACAAAACAAAAATACAAAAACATAAATACAAAACATGAATACAAAACATAAATGTACAAACATTAATAAAATAAATAAATACAAGACATTAATACACAAACACAAATACAAAACAAAAATACAAAACATAAATACAAAACAAAAATACAAAAACATAAATACAAAACATGAGTACAAAACATAAATGTACAAACATTAATAAAATAAATAAATACAAGACATTAATACACAAACATAAATACAAAACAAAAATACAAAACATAAATACACAAAAATTAATAAAAACATCAATACAAAACGTAAATACACAAACCTAAGTACACAAATATAAATACAAGACATAAATACAAAAACATAAACACAAAAACATAAATACAAAATCATAAATATCAAAAATCATAGATACACAAACATAAATATAAAAACATAAATACAACACATAAATATACACACATAAAACAAAAAACAAAAACATGAACACAACAAACAAATACAAAAAGATAAATACAAAATCATCAATACACAAACATAAATACACAAATATAAATTCACAAACATAAATACACAAATATAAATTCACAAACATAAATACACAAACATTAATACACAAACATAAATACACAAATATTAATACACAAACATAAATACACAAACATTAATACACAAACATAAATACACAAATATTAATACACAAACATAAATACACAAATATTTATACACAAACATAAATACACAAATATTAATACACAAACATTAAAACACAAACATTAACACACAAACATAAATACAACACATAAACAGAAACAAAAAACAAATATACAAACACATAAACACAACACACAAATACAAAAAGATAAATAAAACACATCAATACGAAGCATAAATATAAGCATAAATACAAAAACAAAATACAAACCATCAATACACAAATATTAACACACAAACATTAACACACAAACATAAATACACAAACATAAATACACAAATATAAATACAAGACATAAATACAAAATCCTAAATACAAAATTATAAATACAACACGTAAATACACAAACATAAATACAACACATAAATACACAAACATAAATACAAAATCATAAAAACAACACATAAGTACACAAACATAAATACACAAACATAAATACACAAATATAACTACAAGACATAAATACAAAACCATAAATACAAGACATAAATACAACACATAAACACAAAATCATAAATACATAAGCATAAATACACAAACATCAATACACAACATAAATATAAGCATAAATACAAAACATAAACTGCTGGAGTTCAGCGCGTAAGCTAACGTTATTCGACCAATGGTGACTAAAAGTTAAAAATAGCAATCTAAATATTCTAAAAAATAAATTCGATTTTTGCAATTACAATTTCAACTCGATTGTGTCTGCGTTAACAAAGTCTCTTTTATCCATTTTTATTATTTTTTTGACATAATGCTGTGTGTTTATGCATACGATACTATCATTATGTGCTCTAAATATTTATTGCATTCACGTTGATTAACACATGACAACTAGTACGTTTATCTCCCATATAAACGAGTTCTACCCTTGAAATTGGCTACACGTTATTTATAAATGAACTTTAATATGTATTTTATACAATATTGTGCCCAAAACTTTATATGCAGATCAAACACAACATAATACATCACCATCACCCACGCAGGCATGCATAGGACTAGTACATTGTGGTAAGCGCCTGATAAGGCAGCTCCTGCATATTCTTAAAAACAGTATTGGTGTATTATTTAATGGATATGTTACTTATAAATTGTACTAGCGGAAAAAGAAACTGTGCATACCTAAAATGTGTTATAAAAATAAATGTGTATGACGTAGAACAACAAGGTTTTCAGGGACAATTTATTTGTTATTTATTAACAATTGCATTCCATTTTCCACGTTATGGAATCAATTAGTTGCAATCAGGAGTGACGTAAACACAGCAGTTCACAAAGTTAATACCTCGTATGTCCACCGTTTGCCTGAATGCAAGCCTGGCAACGTCGACGCATGGAGCCTATCAGCCGGTTCAAGAATGTTTGTGGGATGGCATTCCAGATCTGTACCAACGCTGCAGCCAAATCAGCCAACGGCACCGGTTGATTAGGTAATGGCCGTAATCTGCGCTTCATTTCATCCCAGACGTGTTCAATGGGCGACAGATTGGGGGATACAGCAGGCCAGGGCAACACGTCAACGTTCTGCTGGGCCAGAAAGTCCATAGCGACACGAGGTGTGTGTGGCCTGGCGTTGTCCTGCTGTAGCGTAATGTGACGTTGCTGCCCTTGCACGAATGGAACGACGTGGGTACGGAGGATCTCGTCACGGTAACGTAGCGCGTTCAAATTCCCGTTAACAATCATCAGAGGCGTTTTCCCGTTGGCTGTGATACCGCCCCAAATCATAACGCTGCCTCCGCCGAAAGAACGTCGTTGTACCACACACACGTCACGGAAACGTTCTCCAACGCGACGATACACTCTGGAATGGCCGTCACTACTATCCAGGTGGACTCGCCACTCGTCCGTAAACAAAATGTCTGCCAAATCCCGTCGAGTAAATCACATATGCCTTCTGCACCAGTCCAGACGTGCTACACGATGACGTGGCAGAAGAACTGGGCAGATTGCCGGACGTCGCGAACGGATAGCTCGTTCACACAATCGGTTCCGTACAGTTCTCGGGCTTATTCGTAGCAACCCAGGGATTGTCCATGCAGTCAAACTTGCCGTTTGGAAGCGATTTCTCAAATGGACAAGCCGACTATGGTTATCCTGTTGACGTGACGTCACACGTGGACGTCCCGCACGAGGTCGATCGCCGACGTGGCCAAAATGTTGATGTCGTCTCCACAAATCCCGGATTGTGTTTCGATGGACATGAAAACGTGTAGAGACGACGGTCTGGCCCATACCAGCTTGAAGCATACCAATAATCCGGAGGCGGGCATTTTCATTGAGCCTCGGCATAGCATTAATCACAAATTAAAACGTTATAATGCTGTTTTTGCTGTTCACTGGTCTCAACAGAGTGACCCAACAGTTGAAAAATAAACTTTCATTGTCGAATTGGATGGCTGGACGAGAAAAACGTGCAAACTGGTCAACGCCTATAGAGAGCAAACTGCACGGGAAAAACTGTCAATGATACACGGATAGTGTGTATGTGTCATACTCAGTCATGTGTGTGACTTTTCATGTATATACGGTTGGTAATACATGTTCTATAACAATTCTCCGCATGCACAGTTTCTTTTTTCCGCTAGTATATGTGAACTGTAAAACGTTTAAGAGTCGCTTATTCTAGCTAAATCAAATGTTGCATATTTATTTCATTTTGATTGAAAATCTTCTTTTATGAGACGTAAAATGGGATGATATGTACGTGGCCCTAAAGATGGGTTGGTATTCGTGAATAGCTGTTTCGTTATCTTTTATATAGAAGTTTCCTTTTTAATGAAATGTAAAGAGACTTCCGTTGATCAGATAGCCCAGTTGGTTAGAGCAATAGTAAAACAAACTGAAGTACATGGTTCGAATCCCGGTCTCCCCACCCCCTCCCCCTCCCCTGATGAAATGTGTACACTCAAAACACTTTTGTTGATTATATTCAATTTCAATCACCCTTTATCATTATTTTTATTGAAATCTCGCAACATATGGTAATATATAAACATCACATTCATGAGAGGGCGATATTGCATATTGTCACCCCAAGGAAGCATTGTTAACCGAGGCGAAGCCGAGGTCAACAATGCTTTCCGAAGGGTGATAATATGCAATATCGCCCTCTCATGAATCTGATTTTTATTTTATTATACCGAGTGTCATGTTTAGGTGTTTCACCACTTCACCATTTTTAAAAGTCCTTGTGTTGATTTGACATAAACCAAGACTTCATCTCAACAGTTGTCGAATGAACCAACCATGAATGGGATTTGATAACACCCTGGCACTGGGACGAACCGTGCACGCATACGTTTGGCGCATGTGATATTTTTTGGAATGTCACCCTGTCTTCTTTATCTTTGTAAAACGAGCAAGTAACATGGAAAATGTTCACATCTTTCTCAACCAATCAGATTACGAGATTTTAACAGAAGGTATAATAATCTGTTTTATTTTTTTATTTTTTTATTTAAGGAATAGTCATGCCGATAAAAACCGTTACCAAGGCGTTGTTAAGTTTCGGGCTGTGGTACGGTGGCCCTTGATTATAGAGAAATTTTACTTACGACTCCATAAGTGATTTCCTTGCAATGGCGTTATATTGGCTAGGCTGTCATAGCAACCACAGATCTTGGTCGAATTGTTGTAGGTAACGCTCTTCGATGTTTTCTGTCTTAGGCAGGTAGCTAGACAGATGATCAGAGCGTTTACAGTAGTGGTCAGTAAGGACGGACTGTATGACTGGCCAACGCTGGACAATTCCTCCTGCCAACGTACCTCAACTGCCACCATTACTGCAATCGCGTTACGAGTACCTATTTAAAACAGTAACACCATTCACCATAGAAGCAAAAACGTAGCACTTCTTCAATACATAAAGAACATATCAAAGAGTATGCAAAAACGCACCTAGGCAAGCACTAAAGAAAACTACCTATACCCTTCCAAGAAGATTAATCAATGTGCTTAAACAGGGTAAGGGTTCCTGTTCGTGTTTTAGATTCATGCATGTTGTTAAAACCGGGGAAATAGTCATATAAAAGACAAGCCTAGTTAGCATAAAATCCAGGAGCAATGTCGATAATGTATTTCATAAAACGTTATAGAATCTCTTATAAAGCCTATGAGATATTTTATAAGGTATATATCTCATTTCATTTCTTTAAAGATATTTTGCATTGCATATTATTAATCTTTCTTATGAATTATATGAAATATCTTCAAAATAAGAGTCCTTATCTATTTTTGAAGATATCTCATATGCTATGTTATATAGAAGAGTTTCCAAGACTATTTCAGATATATTGTGTATTACAAAAGATTGTATATATGCTACGTAAGACGTCTTTTAAAATGTTACGAAATCAAGTGTTGATATTCCTCATTGAATAAATGTTAAGGTATTGTCATTTTTACAGCACCCCTGCAGGTCAAGGATAAAAAAAAAGAATACACCTACTGTTACTAACTGCATGCTGGTAAAAAGGCGACTAATGGGGAAACCCCCTGCAGACTTGATGATTTGCTTTTGCGATAAAAAAAAAAAAAAAAAAAAAAAAAACACATCTGCTGCACCCACTGCCATAGTTGGGATCTTTATATTTCTCTCTACTTCTAACTACCTTTTATTTCCTGGCGCCTTGATTGGAAACATCTCACTTTTGGTTTTAATGTTGAGAGTTCGCCCAGGTGAGGAAGGCAATGAGTTTTGTCCCTAGGTCGGGACATACCAAAGTCCTTAAAAATGGTAGTTGTTTTCCCCTTTTTATCGTTCAGCATTTATGGTAATGGCAACAACTGGTTCGGCCGTTGTCAGTATAATGTGACCGAGCGGAATGCAATGATGGGTGCCTTCGGCATGGTATTTCAGTGATATAGCACTTTAAAGTCGGCATCAGATCCGCGCTATCAAAAGAAGGCAAGTACACCAACATACCCTGTCTCCGGCACACATACACACAAGCACGCTTACACGACACACATTGAGGCACGTCCTTAAATTACCTTAGCTGTTAATGGCTTAGGACGTTAAACAAAATGAAACCAAACCAAATAAAAAATATAAAATATACAGCGGACAACGTCAACCATTACAACGTGTACACTCCACAATGATCTTTTAGTAGCTTTTTTATTGAAATGTCCAAAACTCGATTTGGATGTGACATTTTTCAGTTTTACCTGGGTACCCATGGCGTGATATGGAATAGTAGTTAGACAATTGGTTCATGGTTTGAAACACTATATAAGAAACCAGATGCAATGATCAGCTTCAGTACACACTTTATAGGTTGTGGATGAGTTGTGTAATACTTAAATTGAACGTGGTGGGAAGTTATCTCCTTAGCTATGTTAATGGTCTACGCTGTATAATAATACTTATCATTATAAATTTAGTTTATTTTCATACTAAACAATTGAAGCAATTAAAGGTTTTTAACGTAGTGAAACAACGGTATTAATGATATTGCCAGATATGAAGATTTAATTGATAATTTTTAACTTTTTTCACAAAGGCATATGTACAAATATGTACATAAAGTGTTGCTTACTTTTATGCGCGTGAGGAGTTTCGAAAATTACGTGCATACATAATTATTTGAGGGTTCAAGTACTATTTACCCAACAGATTAAGTAATATGATTTTTGACAATTATTGTATAATAAAAGTTAAATAATTAATTAAAAAATAATTTGTCATAAAGCAATTATATCATATTCAACTAGTAAACAGCAAAAAAATCAATCTCGAATAATACAGAATAATATAGAATGATATAGAATAAGATGATTGATGTTACATTAAACATTAAAAAGGGATTATGTTTAATGTTGATGCACGCAAAATATATCGTTTAAATCGATAATAAAGTGGCTTCAAATGTGAAACTAGCAGTAGGACAAATGTTAATCAATCTTAATAATTTATTGGTTAACAGTGATGATTTTTTTCATCATAATTATTATTTTTTGTTTGTATTTATACACAATGTTTGGTATTCTGAATATCACTTACCTCTGAATGCCTTATCATAGTACTGAAGAAAACTCTCGTTAAGTAATCCAGCATACAGTGTACCTGTGGATGTACACCAAACCTTATCGCATCATCATTCAGCGATCTGTAGTGTTCACAAAATGTAGATCAGAATGTCTACAAGCTCGGCTGATATTTAATCGATTACTTTGCTTTCGATATAGTGAACGATTTTGTTGTGCCCGCCAATCTGCAACACAGATCTACTGAATTACATTAGATGCAGTGAGTCTTGTGTCATTTAGATATAATCAAATGCAAAGCATTAACGTCATTTCTTCCACATTTAACATGTTACATTTATAATGTTGATACGGATACGGTTGCACAACAATGACATTGGAGAGTTGTACAGGTTTTAACGTCCTATCAACAGCTTGGGTCATTTAAAGACGTGCCTCCATGTGTTTGGTGTATTGACATGAGAAATGTAATAATTAAGTGATGAATAAGGCTCTTTTTGAGAGAGAAAAAAGGATAATAATTAAAGGGCCCATACAATTTGTATTTGTGTTTTTGAAATCTCGGAATTTCGGAATCTTAACAAAATGTTCCGTTTTATAGTTACCGACATCGTCTTCTTGCCATGAAAAGCACATTGAAAGTTAACCATAAACAAAAATATAAGTTATCAAAAAATATGAATTACATTTTTGGGAAATATACGGTAGATGATATCTTTTGATAAAAAATGTCTTTTTAAAATATAGAAAAAAAAGAAGAAGAAAATATTGTGCTGAAACTCAAAAGTTTTATATCACTCTTTGTATTACTTTCTACACAAATAATGTACGTATTAAACGTGTAGCAACGTTTTAAGACCGACTGGTCCCTTTATCAAGCTATGCCTAATCACTCTTTTAGTCGCAACAATCAAAATAACGGTATCGACGAATAGAAACAAGATAAGGTTCGGAATATTTTAGCGCCATTTTCCGCTATGGTTACCTGACGTCATTGTCCCGTCCTTGACATCGTTTTATCCAACATTGCTGTTTGGTTCTAATGTTTGGGATACATTTTATCATTTTTTTTGAAAATTATGTCGAGGGATATTTTGTAGAAAATATAATCAGAGCACTCGAGTTTAGCCAGTCGAAAAAGAAGGTGAAAAACATGACTCATTAAAACGATCAGCCCTGTGATATAGTATTCATTCAAAACCAATAGTAGGTATGTAATAAAAGCAATATTACATACATGTTTTAATTTGACGTCTAAAATAGACGTATTTGTATCATTGCTGGCAAACTAGCTTTATATATACATGGGTCCCTTTTCATGTAAAAAAAACAAGGCTGATGTTGTTTGTTCAGAGAATCATTATACATAGTGCTTGTTTTTAAGCTCATTATTCATCTGTGTTATTTACAGGTCAGGAGACACAGAAGGCGGCTTTAAGGTGCAAATTCAGTGACGTGTCACTCAGATTAGATCAATATTATTCTAACAAAACTAAAAATGGCCTTCTATTCAGCTACGTAAAATTATATACATATATACGATATGTTATAGATCACTGCCATTCTAAAGAACGTGGGTTCAATGGGATCAATCTCAAGCAATACTGTCTGAATGTTTTGCATCAGGTCTTAGAAATAATGTAAAGTTTCCGTCTGATCAAACCCCGGCCGCAAAATGTTGTTGTTAAAATAGTTACGTTACGAAACAAAAAGTAAGATCAATATTTTTTTAAGAAACCAACCCGTGTCCTTCACTACAACTAATTTGGCACCAAATTGTTGTAAGTAAATCAAAACTACAAAATATCTTTAAAATAAATCAGTCTTTGTGTTTTCTATATGTATTTAAAACCACGCCTTACGAAATTTTCTGTCATATGCCGAACGTTTTTTGCACGTTGACACTAGTTTAATTGACTCATGAATAAAACCATATATCAAACATACCACGTCACATGTTCCTGTTCATGAACCGCACACAGATGTTACCATTACCACGACCATATAAAACTATCGAACCGTTCTAATACACATCATTGATTTAATGATAGAAACAAACAAAGCAAATAAAACATTGGCCTTACAATAAATCGATAACGATAATGCGTACTTTAATTCCGGTTTTTTCCTAATTGCAAACAAGCATAATGAGTTACACGATCCAGTCGGAATACGATTCTTGAAACGAATATTCAAATGAGTGAATTGACATATCGAGTAATTTCATGTTATACGTTAATTGAAACGTTTGAAAAGAAATCCATGAACAGTCACACAAATACAAAATAGGAGATAATTGCAGTGATAGACATATTTAACCCCTCCTAACTGCAAACCCTTTATTTTCTTAGGCTTTACAACATCTTATAATGAGATGCTGTCAACCCGGCTCCAAAATATAATAAACATACTATACAATTTTGAATGACACAAAGGCTATATTTTATGCTGCTGTATTGCTCTAGGAATCAGTCAATGTATTACACAGCAGTGTTAACATGAACATTATTGTTTATGGTTCAAAATTATCACAATATACATTTTTTTCCAAATATTGATCAGGCTGATATACCTGTCCTTTGAAGATTACAGAGGCGCGACACCTGACTTCAAAGCCAGTCAATTTTACCGTTACGGACTGAGTGATTCCTTTGATGTACATATTGTCTCATCCACAGGTGCTTTAATATTTTCCAAGGGTGCAGAGAGCAAAGTGAACGTAACATCTGGAGTATCGAGGATTCTATACAGATAAACACTAACCTGTTCGTAGTGATTTATATACGAAATTGACTAAGTATAACCGGTGGCCTTACCATCAAATTATTTTGGTTGGGAACGAAAATGGCTGGATCAATTGAGCTTTAATGCGAACACCGGATTTCGATTTCATGTAATTATTATTTTTAACTCCGAATACTTTTGTAGCTATTTATTTTTTTATAGATTTTGTTACACATGTTTTATCATTCTCAAAGGGATAAGTTGCATGCCCTGTAAGGCTATTCATTCACGTGTGCTGGTTCACCAACAATTACTGGTCGCAGTTATCAATAATTCTACCTTCAGTTCAGATAGGTTATCCGGGAACAGTTAATACTTTTGTTGTTACATATTGCTATACCCAGAACGCCGCACAAAGGTTTCACCGTCTTTGAGGGGTTATCTCCGTAGTGTCTTACCTGATAAAGCAATATATTCTGTAAGAACTATCTCAATTACCTTATGCAGGTGCATGAAGCAAAACTAAGAATGCTTTTGTATGCTTTAGAAATATTATCATGAAAGGAAATGTTACATGCTCTTGCTGTGCTGTCGATGATACAGAAAACGAGTTGTTTTGTATTCGTTAATTTACAATATCAAAAGAAGAATTCAGCAAACCGTTGTATATGTATGAGATATAAGCCCTAGTGAATATAAACCCTATACGCAAAGCATTAAAGCAGGAGACAGTAAGAAACTTTACTAATTAATACTAATTCGAGGTTCTCATATACAGCTTTATCACAACCTAGTTTGTAAGTAGTCTCAAAGCGGTTTACAAATTATTATCCGTTGTCTTTCTCAACTCCCTGGGGAGCATACAGCCGGTGCTGCCATTTTGGCGCTCACAGCTAGCATTCAACATTATGACACTGCCGAACCACGTACTCATTTACAGCTGAGCAGACTGGAACAAGCGGAGTAACGTATCTTGGAGGCACGGTAGTCCAGTGGTAGTACACCGGGCTCATGACCGAAGGGTTGCAGGTTCGAGTCATGCCACGGCACTGTGGTGTATGTTTGAGCAAGATATGTTTGAAGAACTGCTGGGTCGAAAGAAGTGGTTAACATATATATCCTTACAGAAATTGCAATTTCGAATTTCGATCGTGAACTCTCCGTCCTTGTGAGTAAAATCCCTGATTCAGCATCATTGGTATTACATGTCGCGGTAGATCTGTTATTCAAGATCATGCTCTGAAAACAATGATTTCCTTGTTAACTGTCGACTGCTGGCGGACAAACTTACTCTTTGTGTGATATGACAGTTGTTGTTTTACATTATGCTCAATAGTGTGCCTTTTTGTTTTGTTGTCATTACATTATATACTTTGATCTAACAGGGATTAACATGGCGGATGAAGCATTAGCCGCCTACCCCTCCGGAACACCTGGCCTTTTTTTCCTTGTCACATCCCTTTGCTGGTGATGTGCCCTACTTTTATTGATTTTGCGATCGAATTACAATTTTGAAGACACGTCGTCATTCTCATCTTATTTATTGTGCTATGGGGCAACTTATTAGTGTTGCCTGGCGCAACGTAGCTTTATTGCATAAATGACAATAAAAAGGTGTTACATATTGTGGAAATGTACAGAAAGGCGTGGTATTTAAATTATGTCCCTCAGGGTATATTGATATTGAATAATTGCATTTCTATTCCAATCGAAATAAAATACATGTATAACGGCTTTTGAACCCTTTGGAACTCGGTGTTCTTAAAAGACTAAGCTTTATTAGAACGTAACGTGATAGGAAGATTGAGAGCTTTTGTGTTTGCATGTAACTCGAAATAAATTGTTTACCAGGAGACTTAGATCTAGGCTGAAAAATTGCTGTCGTGACCTTTAAATGTAGAAAAAAAATGTAACTCAATATCGAATCGAATCATTAATAATAGAAACTTGGGAGAGATCGATACAAAACGAACGGTATCTTGAACAAAATTAATTTCTATATTTTAATAACCTTTACAGCGTGTTAACGTGTAAACATCAGCAGGGCCCAGTTGTTCAAAAGGTGATTAGCTTAATCAGTGATTTGCGCAAATTTTAATGTTCGTGTATCTTTAAAACAGAACTATTGAATTAATTACAACTTTCCAGACATCAAATATTTAGTAGAGTGAAATAACATGCAAAACTGTGAGATTTTACCTTGTATATTGACGGAATTATTAAAGGTTGAAAAATGTTGTTAAACACTGATTAAGCTAACCACTTTTTGAACAACCGGGGCCAGTTTTTAATAAGCATGAATAATAAATACTCACCAGGGCTAATCATCTCTGTTCGCCATTATTATCACTGATCATATCAATAGAGCTTACAACATAAT